ACAAAGCAAGTTTGTAATATAAACATGTAATTATTAAATTTTTAGAACAGTCAAATTTTAGAAAAAAAGGAATATAGGCAGGTATTTCAACTTTTATTTTATTAACTTATTTTTAAAGATTTTATTTATTTATTTGACAGAGAAGGAGAGAGCATACAAGCACAGGGAGCAGGAATAGGAGGAAGAGAGGGAGAAGCAGACTCCCTGGTGAGCAAGGAGCCCGATGTGGGTCTCTATCCCAGGACCCTGGGGTCATGATCTGAGCTGAAGGCAGACGCTTAACCAACTGAACCATCCAGGTGCCCTATTTCAACTTTTAAAGGTTTTTTTTGTTTGTTTGTTTTGTTTTTAATGAGACACAGAGAGAGGGGCAGAGACACAGGCAGAGAGAGAAACAGGCTTCCTGCTGGGAGCCCGACATGGGACTCAGTCCTGAAACTCCAGGATTACACCCTAGCCAAAGGCAGAGGCTTAACTGCTGGGCCACCCAGGCATCCCTATTTCAAGTTTTAAAAGGAGTTGGTAATTCATCTTGGTCTTGAGTGATGGGAGGACTTCAGAGAGATGAAGGGAAGAAGGGGATGATATTCCTACATAGAACAACTAAATTAAGGTAGAGACCAAGGATGATCCTTGAGGCCTGGTAATAAAGGTATATGTCATTGAGCAGGTAGGAGGGGCCAGGCCATAGATAGCTTTGAAGCCCAAGCAGAAAAGTTTGGATAGGAGGTGGTAGGTATTAGTAAATCTCTGTGCCTGTGTGATTTATAAAGTTAGGAAAACATGTCTTCCAGCCTTATGTAGATTAAATGGAATAGAATATAAAGCCCTTGTCCCAGTTCTTGGCATGAAATTAACTATCACTAAATGGTAGCTACTATTATTACCGCTAGTAATAATAATAGCAGAGAAGATTTTGCCTTGAATTTTTAACCTGGACAAATAGTCTTGTTCTGCTTTATTTATGTCAGGTCTATCCAATTTGTCTTTATAGAGTTTAGTGATAATATTGACTAAGACAAACACTTGGGATTTTCTATGAAGAAATGAGCAGAGCCCACATGTACTCCAGTAAAGAAAATGTGTTGTTTTAATGTCATACCCATAGACAGAGCTAAAAGATAATCACATGAGAGACACCTGGATGGCTCAGTAGGTTAAGCATCCGACTCTTGATTTTGGCTCAGGTCATGATCTTGGGATTCTGGGATGGAGCCCTGCATAGGGATCAATGCTCAGTGGAGAGTCTGCTTATCCTTCTGCCTTTCCTTTTCCCCCCTCCTCCTCCCTCCCCTGCTCATGCTCTCTCTCTCTCTCTCTCTCTCCAATAAATAAAATCATAAAAAAAATCGCATGATGAAGTTTTCAAACTACTAGCTACCTATATTTTATTAAATAGTGTTATTTGCCACCATGGAAAACAGTGTAGTGTTTCCTTTCCTCAAAAAATTAAAAACGGAATTACCGTATGATACAGGGATTCCATTTCTGGGTATATACACAAAAGAATTGAAAGCAGGACCTCAGATAATTTGTACAGTTGTGTTCATAGCAGCATTACTCATAATAGGTAAAATATGGGAGCAGCACGAGTGTCCATAGATGGATGGATGTGGTGTATACATGCACATACACAATGGAATATTAGTCAACCTTGAAAAGGAAAGAAATTCTGACAGATGCTGCATCATGGATGAACCTCAAAGACATTATGCTAAGTGCAATGAGCCAGTCACAAAAAGATAAACACTATATGATCCCATTTATATGAAGTACTTAGGATAGTCAAAAGCACAGAGACAGAAAGCAGAATGGTGGCTGCCAGGGGTTTGAGGAAGGAGAGAATGGAGAATTATTGTTTAATGGGTAATAGAGTTTCAGTTTTACAAGGTTAAAAGAGTTATGGAGATAGGTGGGTATAATGGTTGCACAACATAATTAATGTTTTTAATATTCCTGAACTGTACACTTAAAAATAGTGAAGATGGTAAATTTCATGTTATGTGTATTTTACCATAATAAAAAAAATTGGAGGAAAAGAAGTGCTATTTTGCAACTCTACAGAATCCAGTTATAGCTTTTTGATATATCCCCATGAAAGACGCTTCACTAAAATTCAGCTGGTATAAAAACAGGCATTTCCCAGAGGGATAAACAGAGAAGGCATAATAACCTCTGCAAGATCCTCCATAAACTTCAAAGGATATGAGAATGCCTGTAAGGTTTTTTGTTTTGGTTTGTTTTTTTTTTTTTTTTTTTTTTTTTTTTTTGTGATGATAGAAGAGGTGGAGTATAAACAAACTATCTCAAAAAGCTTTTTTTTTTAAATCCATCTAATTATAGTGTACCAGTTTCTTTAATATACTATATTTTATACTAACTATCCTCCAAACCATTTCCCAGAGTTAATAGCGCAACTTATAATTAAATATTATGCTAGATGCAGAAACATAGGCCAAAGTTCAAAATGAGCTAGATACAAATAGAGAAGTCTGAACAAAAGAGCTTCTGTAGGGAAAGGACTAAAAAGTTGGAAAGAAAGCAAGGGATGGGGAGAAAAAAGTGAATCAAGCCTTTTTAAGGTTTTTAAAGCCAAGAATTTGAATTCAAAAATATTAGTCAGAAATCACTTAAATTCACGTTTGCAGTTTGCATTATGGTTCATGTCTCCCAATGTAGAAAACAATTTCTTTCTTTTTTTTTTTTTTTTTTTTTGAAAACAATTTCTTTATGCAACACTAGAGGCCTGCTCCATCTAATTAGCAACAAAGGTCATCTACACACAAAAAGGCAATACCTTTGCTGCTGACGAGCTGGATTAATCTTTTAACAAAGTCTTAAATATTTCTAATTCCTTTTGCCTTTAAACCTTGGAATTAATCAGACTTTCAGCCATATTTTCTGTCCTCTTCATCTCTCTTCTCCTTTTGCCTTGGTGTGGACCTGCAGTGCCACACATTCCACCCTGCCCTCTGCACCCTTTTGGACAATCATCCATCCTAAGTGGAGCTTTATGACTATGCAGCCTGCTGACAAAGGTCCCTTTGCCTCTTGAGGGTCTACCTGTAACTATGACATATACCGTGTTTCTTTTTTCTTTCCTTCTCTCTCTCTCTCTCTCTCTCTCTCTCTCTTTGGAGTTGAAGGGGACACACTGAGTTTCTACCTGATTAACTTGAAGTAAAAGTGCACTGTGTATTTTGGGTGCAGGTCACTGTTTGCTGTTCCGGTTGGCAATGTACACAATGATTTAAGCAATGCTCCTTTGGGCATTTTAGTGTAGGGTGTGGATATTATGTGACACAGTTGTCGACTCTTGGCTTTTCTTGAGGGCAATTAGCAGAAAACTGGTTTTTCTGTTTGTTTTGGTTTGTTTGGACTAACCACTTGCTGGAGCAGAAGGAGCCTGCCTTCAACACTGAGGCAGACTTCACAAAGAGGTTAGGTTGATTCTCCATCTCTGCCAAGAAATGAAACCACTTACAATATTTTCTATATCCTGGCATCTCTTGGTATCCTCTCTCTTGAGCTTGCTCCAGAATATCCTTCATGGTATCAGATAAGGTTTATAGAATCCCAGGAACTGGGATCCAGGCCTGGTTTCCATCTTGCTGGTCAGCAATCAGATGCTGAGACCAGAGACCTGGGTCCTGGCTACAGAATTTCAGAGCAGCCATGACATGTTCTGAGAAACTAATTGCTGAACCCTAAAGTGCATGTGAAAGCACTTTTCCCTCTTTGACTCAAGAATATTATCATGAACTTTAGGAAAACAAAGCAATGGTGCTGACTCAGTCTTCTGAACATTAGGCTCGAACCTAAACATGTTTTTGAAATGAGCTAAGGGTTTAAACAGTAAGTGGACTAGTTTAACTCTGTTTATTGCTACATCCTCCATTCTGGCTCTGTCCCAGAGAGATTTCCAATGGCTCTAGCAGCTTTGGAGTTAGTATCTCTGATGTATTCACATCTGACCTCTGACCTAAACTTCAGTGTTATTTTCAGCTGTTCTTTGACAGGGAATCCAACAGCTGCTGTTTAATACCACAGACAACTTGTGACACACGCTGGGTTTCTAGCAAGAGGATTAATCTGCTGATCTTTGGCTCTGATTTGAAGCTGTCTATAATTTTCCTGCATGCGGGTGGAGGACAATAAAAAAACCAAACCTGAAGTAAAATGTTATCCTTTTTTAAAAAATTGTAGTAAAATATATAGTGTTAACCTTAAATTAAACAATTTTTTTTCTTGCTGCAATGAAAAGGTAATAGCAAGGTATATTACTTCCTGGTCATCGTGATAATGAATTTGAAAATGCTGGTGAGTGAAATAAAGCGGTCATAAAGACATCCTGAAATGGTAGAAATCTACTGATAATTGCTCACTGAAATATTTTTAAAATGTCCCTAACAAATCCAAGACTCTGAGAAAATGTGGCTATTCCACATAAACTTCATTTGACAAAAGGCAATAATTTTTAGAAAGCAAATTAACCTAAAATTAGAAGCAATCTGTGGCTTAATCCCAAAATACATATTAGCACTTATTTTTAAGGTACATTTTGGGGGGCTTTCTTTGCATAAGGGTGACTTGAAAATCTTGCAAAGATATCCATCTTTGCAGGTCTAAGACTAGCTGGTTTCAAAGTCTACCCTAGCTATATAGATTCAATGGCAAAACTAATTTGGGTTGTCAGGATGTAATTTTTTTTCCATTTGCTATTAAACATCAGCTGATAGGCAGAGAGCTTGAAACTGCCCTCCCCGTTTAAGATAATGGCAAAAATATCAGGCACTTAGTGTTACCATACCAGGGGTGTGGCGATTCTTTCCCATTCTCTTCTCTCTCTCCCCTCTCATGATAAACTCAATGGGGTTGTCTATTTTTAACCTCCTGTTCTTTCCTTTTGGCAGAGTCATCAGTGTGAGCTGAGCGCTTTCCCTGAATGAATCCAAGTAACCCCAGTGATTGTCTTCTGAAATGACCAGCAGACACACATCTGTCCAGAGGCCGTCCAGAGTATAAATTCTGGTTCTGAAGCACCATGTCCAGCCAAGGAAGTCCTGGTGTGGGGTTTTCTACGACAACAGTCAGTTCAGTAGCTGTTCAGGCTGGGGACTCCAAAATTGTGATAGCTGTCATAAAGGTAAGACAACTTTCTTTTTTTTCTCTGTGGCTGTTGGCTTTTTGCAGGGTGTTGATAATCCTAAAGAACATTCCCACACAGTCAGCAGCACTCACCATATAGAAGATAGCGCACGTACATCTTACTGCTTTCTTAAATTGGCAGCTAAGAGAAACCTCTAAGTTTCAGCTACTTACTACAGTTTCTCTTTCAGTTAGTCAGAAAACATCTATAGCAGCTTAATTAAAACAAAAACAAAAAAAACGTTACCATGTCCTTTCGATTTGATTTTTAAAGGCAAAGTACTCATGACCACAAGTTTGTAGGTTACCAGGCTGGATAGTCAATTGGACCTGTGAAATGTTCGTGATTTTTGAGAGTGGATATGATGGAGGAAGGAAGAGGACAGTCGCAGTAGATATGAGGTGGCACTATTTCCAGCATGATGAAGAACAGACAGGAGACACCTAGTAGGAGGCTCTTATATATGCCCTCTGCGGCCTTACTTTTGATGTGGTAAAGGCACTGGTAAATCGTTATCACGTTTTGGGGGGAATGAAGACTCTGCCAGCGAAAGCGCAGAGGCATGCGTCAAATTTGCCCTTAACAGCAGGAAGTTGAAGCCACTTGCAGCTTAAGCTATTGCATATTTTACATCAAGTAATTCGCTGATTTGCAAAGAAAGCCACATACCTTTAGGTTGAAGAAGACATCCATGATTTTATTTCCTATGAAAGTGTCTTGCAAAAACCCCTGAAGCATTATGCTCGGATTTAGACAAGTCACCACCTCAGGAATGCAGTGTTTAATGAGGGAACAAGGCAAACAAGCTGGTGCTCACCAGCCAGTTACTTTCAGGACCTCACCAATCTGAGTTGAATGATTTCTCTGGCTTAGAAGCCTAGACTGAGACCTGTTTAATTTAACTTAATTGCTGCAAATTTTATGTTAATATGAAAATTTGTAACAGGAAAGCAGCACTTGATACCAAGCAAAATGATTCACTCTAGAAGCACTGAATGTAAAATGTTCCTAGCAATGTGATTCCTAGTGCTCCTGAGCCTTAGCCCCATGTAAACAGCACCTCTACTGATTCCCTTACCCTGAGTCCTTTCAAAGGCAATAGGTAGACGTGGAAAGAAACCTGGAGCAGAAATAGCAAAAATTGATAATTTGCATGTAATTTTATGATGCTTTGAGTCACTAGAAATTTCAGCCATGAGAGAAAAGGGGCAAACTCCTTGTTTTCAAAAAGTTAACTTTTCTTTCCCTCAAATAGGAAATATTTCTGAGAGCAGGAAGAGGAATAATATGTATGGGATAAATTATAGGATAATCAGAGGTCAACTGATAGTGCAGGAAAAAAAAACCCTAAAATTACGCTGGAAGTACTTATTTTAACTTGACTGAACGTTCCCTCTGACTACCCTCCATAGCTTCTTTAACTCACTACTGTTCCAAATAAAATAAGCCTCATGCTTCTAAAGGAATAGAAGTGTCTGTGTCTGATCCATATGGATTTGTTTCCAAACCATTTTAGGGCACTAATGATCTGGACTAGCCACATGTTTTTGTTTGTTTGTTTGTTTGTTTGTTTCATTTCTCTTCAACAATTTGCTTATCCATGTGCACATGCCTCTTAGTGGTTCCTCTTGCTTAATCAGTTGTTGCTTCTTAGAAAAGCAATTCCCCAGGAAATGCAATGGTGAGTTATATCTTGGAGCAGTGAAAGTGTCCTACGTGAGGAAAACAATCTGGCTGCATTCATACGGCTGTTGTCACATGCATCAATTTTATTGACATTCTCATACATACTTTATTGATTACTCAACAACAAAAGTTGGAAAATGTTATGTTTTTACTTTACTACTATAAGATAAAAATCTGTTGCTTCATCTGCTGTTTATTCTTCCCAGTTGGACCAGCAAGGTCAATGTAAAAACACTAATCAGACTAAATAGCATTTATAAAACCTTTCTTCTTTGGTGAAGTTTGCATCCTATTTGCGCAGGTGCAGTTTCACTATTTTTATGGAATTCTGTGAGAGAAAATATACAGTTGTGCAACATGTTCTGTAATTTTGTCATATTCAATAATAATACTCTCTTGTATGTGTTCTTCCTTTGGGAATTTTTAACTTAAATAGAGTATGCCAAAAATAAATAAATAAATACAGTATTCCAAGAGAAAATAATTTACACTAAGAGTAAAAAAAAAAAGCCAATAAGGCACGGGTATTTATTAAAACTGTTATATTTCAATTTAAGTAAGCCCTATCTCTATAGAAAAAATAAATTGTTCACAGTATAACTGAAACAAAAAGAAAGGAAGGAAGGAAACGAGGAAAAAGAAAGAAAGAAGGAAAAGGAGAAGGGTAAAGAGGAAGAAACAAGAAGAACTGAAAGTGCATTTTATTTCATTTTTATTTATAGTGTGGCAAGTGGGTACAACTTCAACTGGCCGAATCACAACCCAATCTTCTAGAAATTGGTAGCAGTCAAGATGAAACCAAAAAACTTCTTCATGATCATGAACTTCTTTTGGCCAAGCTCAAGGTAAGATATTAAAATGTGAAGCAGATACAAATTAAAAAAAAATGAGAAGCTATTTCTTATACTTCCTCTTGATTTCTCTGACATCACTGGCCTATGGCCATTGTAACACAGTGCCATATAGATAATGGAAAACCTCTATCCATAGTTATTTATGAGCAAATCCCAGCATTAGAGAAAAGTAACAAGATTTTTAAAAAACTTTCCCTAATGTGATAGAAAATATGGAGTGATAATATTTTCACTGTGGAAATATAACTAATTTTTTTTCCTGGCTGCCTCAGTGAAAAAAAAATTCCATCATTTTTCCATTTCATCTATTATACTGTCAAACTTTCTGTTGTTAACAATACCTGCTGGCAAGAATAATACAGAAGCTTATTTTCCCTCTGTTGAGCTGTTGAAAATATCTGATTTTGTATTTAATATTAAGAGTTCTTGAAACCAAATAATAATTTTAGTAAAATCAGAGTTATTATTCCATATATGTGCAGTTCCTTAGTTCAGAATCTAAAAATAATATTAGCTTGAGATTACCAGATAAGGTATCGAGTCAGGACCTGCTACATAATTTGTGGGGCTCAGTGCAAATAAAAGGTGCCCCCTGTTCAAAAAGCAAGAAAAAGGTTTTTCTTGACCTGTCACATTGCATTTCATCTGCTATTTAATGTCTGTCTCCTTCATGCATGGGGTACGTGCTGGGCCAGTGCACACCCTCACAAACTCTGAGCCCCCCGCCATAGCTCATTGCACAGGGTGTGGCCTGGCTCCAACCTTTTCCTAGCTGTGACCTGGCCCCCCCACCCCAGGGCAGATGGCAGAGGTCACTGAACAAGGGTGGGGACGCAGACAGGATACCTGAGACTCTCCTGGGAGGCAGGACCCCATGTGAGATAGGGCACCAGTCCCTCAGCACTTCCTCTGTTGTCCCAAGGGACTTTACTTACAAAACACCAATTTCTAAATCAAATTATTAAAAATTTCAAAACAGTGACAGGCAGAGTCACTTTAGACTCCAAGTGGTGTGTCCCCTTCTAAGAAAGGAGCCCAGGGATGCAGCCAGCCCTTATAGGTAGACTTTTAGGTAAGTGAATGTCTTCACTAAGATCAAAGAGGTTTGATTGAGCAACCAGTAATGACTCTATTTTTAGTGCTTCAACATTACTGGCTTCTGTGAACATCTAGGCTGGATTTTATACTTGCTTCCTGGATTTAGAAGCAGATCTAAACTGCATCTGATATATACAGACCATGTTTTTCTGACTGCACAGTAGTAAAAGCAATTGGGTATATCAGCCTCGAAAGTTGAAGAAAACTTAGTACTGAAAGAGAGAGCCATTTTTTTTTTAAATTTTTATCCATTTATGACAGTCACACACACAGAGAGAGAGAGAGGCAGAGACACAGGCAGAGGGAGAAGCAGGCTCCATGCACCGGGAGCCCGTTGTGGGATTCGATCCCGGGTCTCCAGGATCGCGCCCTGGGCCAAAGGCAGGCGCCAAACCGCTGCGCCACCCAGGGATCCCGAGAAAGCCATTAAATCCAAAATTTAGTCTCCTGTTTAGGCAGCTCCTTGCTCTGGGCTCTGGGCTATCTTTCAAAGAAGAAATCCTTGGCTACCAGGAAGTCCTTTGTATATAAGAAAAAAACAAATCATGATGTGAAAGAGCATTGAACCAGGAATCAACAGATCTGTGTTTTAACACTGATTATACCACTAACTCATGTAACTCAGCTAAAAATTCAAAGTCTTGCTGCTGCTGCTACACAAATAAACTGAATTCCATGAATTGTAGAAACCCAAGACTTCCTCGAAATTCCTGCTCATCCTCAGAGGTTTACTTTCTCATGGTCTCCTGTGTCCCCAGCATCTTCTTAGATACCTGCCAACTGTTTGTGCTGAAGTTAACTTGGACTTGAAACAACATCCCTTCCCCTGTTTCCACTAATAATTCATGCCCAGCCTGCATTGCAGGTCTATTAATGAAATTCGGGGAAGCTCATGGAAGTCTGGGTCTCACAGACTCCCTCTCTTTTCTCCCAACCCTATTTCTGTCCAGGACCACACAACTCCAGAGAGAATGCTGTCTTAGGCAAAGCAGTACAGCTCCACAGCAACTATCACTAAATTTGCATACCTAAATCCATCCAGGAGCTGGGGGTGGGGTTGGGTGGGAAAGGCTTCCCATTTAACAGGATCCATCCTCAGAAGATGCTTGTGGTTCTAGATTCCAAAGTCCTGTTGTCCTTTTATGCCAGTCTTCTGGATGGACTACCCTTTGGATTTCAGGCTCTTTAACTCTAAAATGAAGGGAGAGGATAGATCAAACAAAGCTTCATCTCTATTGTGGATCTTACCATAAGGTGCCATGGGATCATGGGGCCATTCTCTTTCTGTGTGTGTGTGTGTGTGTGTGTGTGTGTGTGTATCTAAGAACATGAGGTCCCAGGTAAAAAGGCCTTTTGGCTTCATGTAGGCCCCTAGCCATTACCTCTTTATGTCCCTTTCCCATACCCTCCCTGACCCCCCATCACTATCTACTTAGGCACCCAGCCCCAAAAGAAATTTTAAGTAGTAGAATCATCCTCCAATGTTATTGATTTTAAAGAAGAAATCAAGAAGTCTGAAGTCTGTTCTGGATTTGTTGACAAAAGATTTCTTAAAATAACGAAAAGGTAAATTCCATATTGTAGATATATAGATCAGGAATTTAACCAGTTTATTAGCTATTATGCTGTCAATGTTGGCATAGCTTAACCTGTAGCACAAAATTATTGGATCCAAGTTGGTTTTAATATGAGCTTTTTGAATGGTAAGAACATTAATAGTTCAATAAGCCAATAAATATTTAATATTTACGTTCATTCCTGTCCTTTTCCAATACACAGAGCCCTGCAATTCATTCTAATTATAAAGAAGAATGCTGTTTAAGGGGTATTGAGAGGGTGTAGGGTTCAGTGCTGAGTCTACTCTAATTTGGACACTGCAGTTAGCCTCTCTGGTATCAGGTTCTTCATTTGAAAAACTATGATAAAAGCAGTTACCTTCCAACACCTAAAAAGGGAAATTTGGGGGGAGAAATGCAATGATATATGTATTATACCTGCTGCTTTTAAAAGAAAAAGTGGCATAATTGTTCTTTAATAATTAATATATCAGAGTAATTTGGATATTTAATTAGATAGAAAAGCAATGTTCTGCCTCCATTGAAAATTATCTCAAATTCTAGTAATTTAGATTAAAAGGAACATTTCTGGAAATGCAGAATTTTTATGAGTTTTCTAATATTGTTAAATGTCTATACCCTGAAGATATTATTTTCCTTTCAACAGTATAGGACTTAATTCCAGTGGAATGTCTAGAGAAAAAATATTTCCCTATTTTCAGTGATGAAAACATAATTGTGTGGAAAAAACATTAACTCCCAAAAGGCATCTAGATTCCCAAACCATACTCAAATTACTTCTAATGAGAAAGAAGAAATTCAAGAAAGGGGAGAGATTTAAGTCAGGTAAAGACTTGCTTATGGCTGCTCTCGACGTTACATTTCTTTTTTCTTTTTTTTTCTTTTTCTTTCTTTCTTTTTTTTTTTCGACGTTACATTTCTAAGTGGTCCAGGAAGAAAGAGGAATTGGGAGTACATTAGGGATGTTTCTGAGAATGTTCTCCTCAGCATCTATCTTGCAACTAACAACATTGCTATTGTCCAAAGGAATGATACAAACCAAATAAACTTCCAGCCACTGGCTCCTGTATTTGTACATATACAATATTAGCATTCAGTGAAGAATGACCTTTTAGAGTATAAAATACTAAATTTCACCTCTGATTTGACTCATAAATCTATTAGTTCCCTGATTCTGACTAAATTTCCTACCCAGTGAGTACTTATTTTTGTCCTATTTCCATTTACTTAGCTAGAAATGAATTCATGAGAAATAGTCAAAATATATTAGTAGTAAAGCTAAAAGTCTTATTAAAATTTGCCTTACATAAGGAATAGCATGATTTTCCACTGTGAACTTGAATACTTACTAAGAATGTAGTTAAAAATTTTTTTATTGTACTAAAATATTATAACATAAAATTTCCACTTCATCCATTTTTAAGTGTACATTTCCATGGCATTAATTACACTCAAAAGTGTACAACCATCAACACCATTTCCCAAACTTTTTCTTCACATCAAATATAAATTCTGTACCTATTAAGCAATGACTCCTATTCTTGACTTCTCTGGTAACCTCAAATCTACTTTCTGCCTCTACAGATTTGTCAATTTTAGGTGCCTCTTATAAACGGACTAACTCTATAATATTTGTCCTTTGTGGTGGGCTTTATTTCACTTAGCATATAATGTTCTCAAGGTTCATCCACATTATAGCATGTATCAGAACTTCATTCCTTTTTATGAATGAATAATATTTCATTGTTCGGATATACCACATTTTATTTATCCATTCATACTTTGGTGAACCCTTGGGTTGTTTCCACTTTTTAACTATTATGAGAAATTCTATGGTGAACGTTGGTATACAAATATCTGAGGACCTGTTTTCAGTTATTTTCGGTATATTTAACTTTTTGAAGAAACATCAAAATGTCCTCATAGCAGTTGCATTGTACTACATTCCTACTAGCAACAACCATGTGTTCCAATTTTTCTACGTCCTTGCCCAAATTGCTATTTTTTGTTTTAGGTTATAGCCATTTTACCATGTGTGAAGTGGTACCTCATGGTGGTTTTGATTTGTATTTCCCTAATGACTAATAATGTTAATCCCCTTTTTATATGTTTAGACAATCATGTATCTTCCTTGGAGAAATGTCTAGTCAAGTCTTTTGCCCATTTTAAAATCAGGCTGTTTATTTTTTGTTGTTGAGTTATCAGAGTTCTTTATAAATTTTGAATATTAATCCTTTATATGTTTTAGATATTAATCCCTTATCAGATGTAGGATTTGCCGACATTTTCTCTCATTCTGTGGGTTGTTTTTTCACT